GACTGAAACCTGACTTTAAAGAATTTCATCCTTAGAACGTGAACTGTGAGTATAAGTAGGATTTATACAGACTGACGTAGAAGTTAAACTTAGTTCTTCTAAAATACAGTCCAGGGTTCTCCACATTTGAAAATTTAACCATGGAGGAAGCTGCGCGAAGGCGAAACACGAGTAATGATGTGACTGAAACACGAATGCGTGTTAGACTTCCTAACCTTCGTTAATCAATGAACTTATAATTACTGCAACACAAAAAGTTGAAACAACTAATCAAAAAATATAAATAAGAATAAACATGATAAAAAAGATTAATATGTATCTTTCTTTACAAATGTGTAACAAAATCCCAAGACTGTAGGAACAATTTGAAGGAATTCCAAAAAGAAAAAAAATTGATAGAGTAACCATGGCAACATTAAAAATTAATATATACAGAATTGATGTTGCCTGTTGTATGAAACGTTTTATTTAAATATGAATAAAACTAATGAATGGATAGCATTTTTTAAAAGTTAACAGACTCACAAACACCGACATCCTATCAATTAATGACTCAGCTTTTTTACTGCATGGTCTATGAAAACTTAATGATGGCATGCATGGTAAAAGTAACTAAATATAACCAGGGGCATAAATTTGATATAACTGTAATTTTGCTTTCTCTTTTTTGTTTTTCTTTTAATCCTAAACGTTCTTTTTTTTTTCTACATATTGTATTTTCTCCGATTTTCCTCTTTTGTTTACTTCTCCACGTGCTCCAGTGCTAAAAATAGATCCACGCGACGTTTCATAAGAACGGGAGGTAACTCTTAAAGTAATACTACCATTGGCACTGATGTACATTTTATCAGAAAGAAAGCATATGGAATTGATTAAATACAAAGAATATGAAATGTTGATCATGTTGATAGGGTCATTGTTTTTTTTTCTTTGCACAGAAACTTGAATCGGACGCTTGTCGATTTTCATGTTGTTACTGCTCATTTCTATGTCATCTGTTAAATTTGTTATCGTATTTAGCTAATTGAGAACACGTTGGAATTCCCCGAAATTACAAGTGTACAGGATAAATAACTATGAAGATATTGATTATCAGCTGATTGACTCTCCATTGTCACGCTTCACAGCATAATCGCCGATCAACGACCGTGTTTGATTAGCATTGTCCGCTTTCCCTCGAGGCATGCCAGGTGCACTGGCAGTCGTTGTATAAACACAATTAACTACTCAATTCATTAAAAAGTAGGTGTCAACACTAAAATGCAATAAAAATTTAATCATGGCGGCAAACGATTTTAACCATGGCGCAGCTCGTTTAACCATGGCGCACATAAATTTAACCATGGCGGGCCTCCATGGTAAAACCCCTTGTGGAGAACCCTGAGTCAGTCATAATATTAAAACTTACAAATAAAGACGATATTGTTACAATCCCTGTCTGCTGGAACCATAACATATTGTTCATGTTGTCTAATTCTTTTATCACCTCATTTACTGAAAACGGAAGGATATGGCTCGCATATTGTATTTTTACTTTCTAATAAGATTCTTGACAATATTTCAAAAAAACTTTTAACCCATTGTGACAAAGTGTTCAGGTCTTTCACATCATATTTCGCCCAACGTCTCGCATAATTTTCGACAGCATTTATAATAAAAATGAAGGGAAAGATCGGGCTCCCTGTATTTAGGACTTTTAAGACGATTGCTTTTAGTTCGTCATTTTTAACAATACTATATAATATCACCGGTAATGAGGTGTCCAGCGGACTGTAGTTGAAAGAAGAACAAAAACACTTTTAAAAGAGGATTTTGATTTAGATGTTCAATAAATTTCCCGTCCAATTACAAAACATTTTATTTGTCAATAACATCCACGGTATTTTTCAACCTGATACCTAAATGTTTCCAGTTGTTATTTTCACACTGCGAAAATATTATTGTTATTTTCACACTTTGAAAATAACACGTGTCTATGAAAATAGCCAAACTATTCAATGGATAATTTTTCGAATTTCATCGTTGATTTCTTTGTTTGATTTTTGTTTTACGTCCCTCTCGAGAATTTTTCACTCATGTGGAGACACAACCACTTGCCGGTGGAGGGTTACAAATTTAGACCTATACTCGGCACACAGAGCCATTGAGCAATGAGGGATCTTTTTCGTACCAGCACCTACTGCGACAAGGGACCTCGGTTTATACAGTCTCAGTGTCCCGCAGTGAGATTCGAACCCCTCGACGTAGGGATTAACTCCCAACACCACGACTCTTGAGCAAACGCTCAAACCACTGCGCCAAGCGGGCATTTCGCCGTTGAAAATCTAAGGTAAATTATAAAATAAAATATAATTATTTATTCCAGAGAAATGCAATAGATCCTACAGTCATGTTATGTTTAGATCTTCGGAATTTATAAATGTTCACAACGGATATGTTCTTTTTCACTTCAACTCGATAGTGGTTGGAACAGAACAATTTTTTTATTGCTAAGATAATTCGTCAGACCAGTGAATTTTACTTAAAGCTAGCTTCAGTTTGAAACACCCCAGAGAGTGGATATATCTTACAATGACAAGGTTTATTGTGATAATTGGCATTAAGATCTAGATATTTCCTGGTTAATATGTTTTCATGGTAAATAGCCCTTTTCTTTTTACAAATATCACTCGTCTGGCATGTAATTTTCTCTTCTTTTTACAGTGTAGATTGGAATACAGTCTATAATATAGTTTGTCAATGTATTCAAAAATTACTGCGGTGTCTCAAAAATCAGAAAAAATGGAAGGCATTGATCTCTAAAACAAACAGTAATAGGAAATTCACCATGATACATTTTCTCTATCAATATAATTAATCATACGGATGCATTTGGAGACAGTTCATTGGTGATATACACCTACGATGTAGCTGTTTGGTCGTTATCCTCGCCTTGGAGAAATTAGCGTCAGATTTAAGTCCAGTGCTTCATAAGACAGTGAGATCAATCCACGACAAGGTATCATGACGGATGAAAATTTTTACATAAAGATATAATATCTTTTTAAAAGGGGATGTTGTACTTTTTCAGCCTATAATATATCTGAAGTCTATTCACAGAAAAATAATGTACATGTACTTTATAAGACGAAATTTGAAGATAATGAACAGTAATCAAGCTCAAAGGTCCATTAAAAGGATACAAAAATACATAGGCCTTGAAAAACATCAGAGGTGAGATCAAGTGCCATGGAGGAGTAAACATCCCCTGTCGATCATACCCGCTGTGTCCTCCTTGTTATGATCAGACAAATGGAAAATCCATAGACAATGCATTTTGAAAATAATGGCCTAACAATTTGTATGGAAAAAATTCAATCAATATTCGATATATGATAGATAGTATTTGCTGACAAGGTCAATGTGTCGATCATAGAATATGCGAAATGTTGATTTAAAACAAGAATGTTGATATTCTTGTTTCAACAACTTATTTGTCAATAGCTTGCCTCGCTGGTGGAAACTTTTAGTATGTAGCGCATGCTGTTGCTTATCGAATCAATTGAGAGACATAAACTCTATATTCTGATGATAATGGTATATTGCTATCTATATGAGGGAAGTTGACGATAGAAAAGTTGAAGTCATAACGTTTATCATAAAGTTTTGTTGTTTAGTTACCATTAGCTGTTTTTTAGTAAAATATCCAAATATGATGTATCAGACTGTGTGGGTTTATTTGAGTTCAAAGGGATATGTTGAACCAACGTAGGAATGAAAATGAATACTGTTAATTGATAAAATGTCGTCAATATCTCTAAATATCAAATTGAAGGCCACAACAAAAGACTTTTTCTTTTCATGTAGAAGTTTTTTTAAATAAATTCTGCTTCATATGAATACAAATTGAAGAAAGATAAAATGTGGTAAAATCTTCTAGAATATTTACATTAAAGACCTTTACTCCAATGGCGCACACTTAATTTGTAACGTTACCAGGAACCAAACATGTTTGTTCTTGATGAACTGCACTTTATATCTTCATGAGTACATTTAAATCATTTTTATTTGATGATACTTAGTAAGTATGCAAAAAATGAATAAATATCTAGTTATTAAAAGTGTAACACTATTCAAAACGCTGAAGATAACATTAAAAAATGGCAGAAACACAAATGCCTTCATTTTGTTTTTGTTCAGAAATAATTCCGATTGTTTTTCTGTTATTTAAGTCATACGACACGTTCCTTTATAATATATAATTATCCCAATAATTTGTGAATAAAGTCTGTTTGTTTGTTTGTTTGTTGTTTAACGTCCCTCTCAAGAACTTTTCACTCATATGGAAACACCACCACTTGCCAGTGGAGAGCTGCAAATTTTGACCTATACTCGGTACTCAGGGCCATTGAGCAGTGAGGCATCTTTTTCGTACCAGCACTTACTGCGACACAGGACCTCGGTTTATACGGTCTCATCCGAAGCACCGGTCTCCACGTCTCACAGTGGGATTCGAACCCGCGACGTAAGGATCAACTCCTTTCTCCGGCACTCTAGAGGAAACACTCAAACCACTGCGCCACGCGGGCGACGTGAATAAAGTATTGCCATTTTATAATAAAATTCCTCACAAAAAAAGATCAGGCACATTACCATGCAAGATGCCAGAGATGGTATTTCCTATATAATCCTATTGGATATCACTTGGATTCCTGATATCATTGTTTTTGGTATTGTATTTTTAGGATATTTTGAAAACAGTTTAGAAATCATAAGATAATAATAATTATAAACGTTTTCGGTATGCTACATAGAAATAGATATAAGAGGAAAATATCCTCAGACTTTACATAATACTGAAATACTCCAACCAAAAATTCATATTTTTACAAAAAGTAAAGAAGAATCTCAAAGAAAAAATGTCATTTACTACATTCACTAAGTCATGAATAGCATTACTTTGTTAAAGAGACCGTACACCACACACAATGACACTTGGAGTGCGAAAAAAATATAGGAAAGTTCATTCAAACTTTTATTTGGTCTTTTTTTTTCGAATGAGAAATAAATGAGTTAGATTTTTAATGAATTAAACTTATGCTTTAAAAAGGCACATTGTACATACAAGTATTGACCACCACAATAAACGTTTAGCAGTTACAAACAAGCATACAATGTATAATAATATAGCTACTTAGCCAATCAGGAAGTCATAAAAAATAACTATACAATGTATGGTGACATAGTCACATAGTTTACCAGGAATAGACATAAAAATGTCCATATAATGTATGATGATACAGTCACACAGTCAACCAAGAATAAATAGGCATCAAAGTATAATCCATGTAAAACCTTTATCTATTTACAAAGTCATTTTATAGCGGTAGAACTATACAATTTCTAACCTTTAGATTGCTCCCGGAATGAGTTTTTTTTTTTAAATAAGGAAGTACCATCCTTAACATGATTTTACGAGACTGGGACCTAGTCTGCTCTCTAACAATACAAAATATCACTTACAAGAAGTTACTTTAATAATCACCGTCTAATATCTAAATACTTCCATAAAAGAGTAATTTTACTTTATCAGTGTATCAGTTGTACACGGCACAAGCAGTATTTCATTTTAAACACATAAGCAACATGTGGCAGTAAGTTGAGAATGTGTTCGTATGAAAGATAGACAATGTTTTATGTCTATTACTTGTACTTCTTATAAAGTGAAAAGCTATATCTAGTCGATGACGGTTTTCAAATAAAAGGTACAATCCAAAACTCCATTCATGTCGAAAAGACGCAATAGGATGTATTTCAAATCATAAGATATTGTGTTCTGGAATGGAATGTTTTTTTTTTTTTGATTTACAGAATTAAAGACACATGTCATAACATAAAACACACATAAAGGAACCAAATCCACCTAATGTCTGCAAATATCAGGAATCTGTCACAAGGCTGAACTAAACGTTCACTTAGATCTTTAACTTCTTTCATAATAACAACGCTTATCAATAACAGGATAAAGTCTTCATAAAAACTGTAATGCTGTCATCAATGTCTGAAGGCCAACGTTTATCAACAGGATATGACGGGCCGTAACTGTCTTGATCATCTCTTCACATGCATCCATTTTCAATATTTGATATTTCTAGTTCAAGTTCAAGTGTAGTTAGAAGCTATTCTTTAGCATGAAAAGTACTTCGCCATCTGGCCTTTTAACATACTTAATGTACTTCAAAACCACAATTCTTTATTACAGGTTTTTTATGCAGGAGTTTTGATTTTACGTCGCAGTTTTTAAAAATCGTTAAATGAAAGGTCTAAAGATCTATAGAACGTAGAGATTTTCACAGGATTTGGCGTTTCCCTCTTTTTTGAAGAGTTTGTTCAGTATTTGTTTGCTCTTGTTGACACATCCTTGTAGATGTTCTAGTCTACTGTGGGATCTTTCGTTCTGTTTTATTTTCAGTTTGACTTGACTAAGGATGCCCACTAGAAGCTCATCCACGTTGTGATTTAGAACTGTCGATGTCTCAATGAATTTACAATCATAGGTCTTAGCTACTGCCTGCGCCTCTGAAATAAATAAAATTTTGCTATCAAAGATCATGGTATGATAAAAAAAAAATCAACAATACTATTGATCAGAAACCTCATTTATTAATTAATTTATTTTATTTTGTTTTATTTTGCCTGTTTTCCCAAAGTGTAATCCATGACCATTATGTTGAACCAAATATATGTGGTGAAAGTTCTTGAGTCTGCAACGTTGGTAATATTAATGTTAAAATTCGGATTTCCTATGAATTTTCTAAGAATTTGAAACGACCATGATTTCACTTTTTACAGAAAATTCTTTTCATCAACTAATTTAAAAGTTTTGGATGAAATGTTTTATAAGAATGCAATAATAAGCTCTTCTACAGACTTTATAATTCTATTAATGCGAGCTAATTAGTATATTATTAGGACAAAATAAAAAATACCTTTGTTTCCCTTAACGCGACCGACCCAATTAAATCGCACCGACTGAAAAGATTTTTTTAAATAGGATGATTCAAATATTTTTTTTTTTAATGTTTACCAACTTTTATAAAATTCAATATCATCAAAATTCGTTTTTATCAGAACGGATGACATTGTTCTACTGTGATTTACAAGAGTTTGTTGGAAACAAAATGGCACCAAGATGTGGTCACAGAGGGTTAGTTAGTCATTGCACAGTTTCCAAATTTCAATCCACAATATGTAAGTATGTTTGTGTTTGTAAGAATTCTTTTCAATTCTGGAACTAAAAGTAAATCTTTTAATCTTTTCTTAAAATTTTGATTCAGCTATTAAAAGTGTGAAGATAAAAAAAAATTTTGTGCATTAGTATCAATTAGAATGTTAATCCTTTCAAGGGGGCGGGGGGTTTCCACATACCTGGAGTAAACAGATATATGAGTACTACGCTCCTCAATATCGATTCGACTAACTAGTATTATTATATTCCATACATACATACAAAGCTGAGTTTTGCTTCGCATTAACTAGCCTCGCTAAGATCTTCCTTTAAGCATATTTCTTCTTTGAAACGATTTTATTTTTCATTTTTACAAACAAATTCAAATAAACATAGATGATGTAGGCACGAGTATATTTGTTTGTTTGTTTGTTTGTTTTTTGCTTTTTTTGTTGTTGTTTTTTGTAAATTAAAAAAAGGCTTGGCTTAGATGTATATTTGCACTCTACAAAATAGAAAGGCGTAATTTTCTAGCTTCATCCAGGCTTTATATTTCCACACCAATCTATCATTAGCTGAATTTCAATGAACCCATTTCAATGATAAAGCACAAAAACATCAGTCTAAGTGGTATTTGTTTTACATAAACACTTCCCACCTTCCTGTGCTTTAGGGAACAAAGATTGTCCTCTAGCAAGGCTCATCTATTTGGTCATTGAAGTAAAAAAACAATCTGAATCATAATCACCCTGTTGATCATAAATAAATTTTCACTCCTTGATCTGTGTACGTTTTCGGATTGCTCTCTACAATACTCGTTTGTGAGCTTAATTGTATCTAATTCTTCCTATTCTGCAAAGTCTTGAGCACAGAAGCATAAAAAGAACATAGGAAACACATTTTTTTAAATACAATTAATGCCTGGGAATTAACATATTTAATTTGTCCTTGACAATTTACACAAAATCGATGGGAGATAAGGCGTATTTAATTAGATGATTACTGGCTCTACAAGGCCTCCATTGTCGTTAAGTATAAAGGCTTTAAGATAAAAAGAGTGACAAATGTGTAGGAAAACAGACTTTGCAACTCACTTTCAAATCTAAGCACCACCAATATTTAAATGAGACGCGATTTTTCTTTTGGATTCCTTTAAAAGAAATTCACATTCTCATACACCACAGCCGAGGAGGAGTAACATTGCGGTCAGACTAGCTACTTAGCTTAACTTAGAAAATAAACCCTGGACAGTTTGTCAATTTCTTGGTGTCTGAATAGAATATTAATGACTTTTAGTTTTAAAAGACCAGATACTTTTTACCTTGACATAATTGACATGAGGCTGTAACATGCCTGAGTGATGTGTTAGGCTTTACCTTTTCTTATTTTAAATATCTCCCAAGCATCTGAAATACATTTCTTTATTGGAAAAAAAAGATGAGAGAAGCGATGATGTAGCTGTTACTTAAACTTGTAACGATGATAACGGTATTCCATGAGGACACGATGTTGATGGTATACGTTGTTACAATATTAAGATGGTGTTAAATAAAAGAATCGCATCACCGCCATATGACATGGTGCCATTGCAATTGTTTAATAGCTCTTTCTCACAATCCAACATCGCAGAATCGTCCAATGTATCTTATATTCATACAAACGAAGGAAAAATGTTTGACTTAATTACTTAGTGTTAAATTAGTGCTGAATTTTGGATATTTATATGATACTCTGATAGGAGCTCTTCCTGAATTACTAGTAACCGATTGCATTTGGACGTTTACGATGTTATAATAATAAAAAAAAAAATCAACATAAAATTGAGATAATCTGCATCGATTTATATTCCCACCTTCTTTTCGTTATTGAAGTGTTGAGTTGCAAAAAATATTTAACTATCATATGTACCTTCTTTTAACATATAATTCTAAAAACAAATTCTAAAAATTCCACATGTTTTCCGTCATTCTGTACATGTTAAGCACAGAAAAAAGTAATAATATCCTTGTAAACATTGGGGAATGACAAAATAACAATCTGTGTTCGATAGACAACTCATCAACTTACATTATCTCTACTATGTGTGAACAATTTACAGGAAAACAGGAATCAGGCATTAATTGAATTGTCGCGAGTTTTAAAGCTTTTCATGGTTTTTACAAACGATGAATTGAAAAGCCTATTTTCTATGCAAAATTTTCGTAAACAACGTATTCTGTAATGAATGGTTATAACGTTCTGAAGACAATGCATTATTTCAAAGTTCTCTAGGAATATACAAAACTCAATTTAGGTTTGTATGTGTCATGACAACTTAGTGAACTGATTTTATTTCTATTATTTATGAAAGAAAAGTTTTACAATGGAATATTACGTGATTATTCCCCCATAACAAACTACACACATGTCGGTCAACAGATGCAAGAATCGCAGCAGCAACGCAGAGGCGGACGATGTAAAGCTTGTAAGTGAATCAATGAAAAGACATGTATTACAGAGAAAAGGCTATAGACTAGCACGTTTATAAATGCTGTAGTGCAGCATGCTTGGAGATGCAATTGCGCAAACTGCGGTGGTAATGCAGCTAAATAGATGCAACAAATTTTAGAATCAGAGGGAAAATGCACTTTACGAAGGTTAAATTATATAACAACCTTAAATAAACTGTTCTGCCTTGGAATTTAACATTTACTTCCGGTCTCATTCAAAAAGCTAGGATCCAGAATGAGTTCTCTTTTGACGTGAACTAAATAAGTCCTAAAAACTGATCACATATATATGTAACACACAGGAAATGAAACCGAATAAATAAATTGTCACCAATAATCCCTAAATCCAAAATTCATGCCTATTTACTTTACTTAGATCATCTGTATAGATTCGCACACGACCTTCATATTTTCCTGGTTCAAACGTTTTGTGACCTGAGAATTTCGAGGAGCGGAATGGGGATGGAGGCACATTAGATTAAGTTAAGTAGAGAGCCGAATGGGGATGGAGGGACATTAAATTAGGTATAACTGTACAAGTTGAGTAGAGAGCCGAATGGGGATTGAGGCACATTAGATATTAGGTGACTGTACAAGTTAAGTAGAGAGCCGAATGGGGATGGAGGCACATTAGATTAGGTAACTGTACAAATAGAGAGCCAAATGGGAATTGATTGATTGTATATTGTTTTACGTCCCATTCGAGAATTTTTCACTCATATAGAGACGTCACCATATACCGGTGAAGGGCTTCAAATTTTGACCTTTATTCGGCGCTCTGGGCCATTGAGCAGTGAGGGATCTTTATCGTGCCAACGCCTGCCGTGACATGGGGCCTCGGTTTTTAAGGTCTCATCCGAAGGACCCGCAACTTTCACTTCAAAGTGCCGAGCGCATGGCGAAGGAACAGCTGCTACCCATTATTTATCGAGTTAGGTCAGTCGCGACCGAGATTCTAACTCACGACCTCCCGATCACGGAGCGAGCGCTCTACCGACTGAGCTACCGTGAATGGTCCCGAATGGGGATGGAAGCACATTAGATTAGGTAACTGTACAAGTAGAGAGCCGAATGGGGATGGAGGCACATTAGATTAGGTAACTGTACAAGTAGAGAGCCGAATGGGGATGGAGGCACATTAGATTAGGTAACTGTACAAGTAGAGAGCCGAATGGGGATGGAGGCACATTAGATTAGGTAACTGTACAAGTAGAAAGCCAAATGGAGTAGAGGCACATAAGATTTGGTAACTGTATTTATTATGTAGACATTAAGATTTTATAAGTTTTCGATCAAGATGAGTTTAAATTTTCTTGATAAGGTTTCCCACGGAGTAGATATTCGGACAATTCGAATGACCAAGTCTTATGTGCATACCGTATATCCGGGTTTTTTTCGCGATGATCTAATTTTCGTTTTCATTTTTAATTCGCAAATAATAAAACACGCAGAAATTATATTACTTATTGAGTACCATAAAACGTTACCGTTTTTTTTTTTTTTTTTTTTTTAATCGCAAAAAATAACTTGCGCATAATAAAAACTGTACAAATCAACCCTTTTTCGCAAAATTTGCAACACTCGAAAAAACCGGATATATGGTATTTTAATTAAATGGAAGTCGGTTTCTGAGGTGGATAAAATATTTATTCCCAATACTTTATCCAAGAACTATTCTAACAGCACGAAAATTTACATTGTTATAAAACAAAGAAAATAATAATTATTTCTTTGTTTTATACGATTAAACATTTGTATTGTTTCTTTTTTAATTTTGAATGCTAAACACACTAAATGCCCAAATTATGGAATGGAGCAACAATTAAAAACAAAGTATGTTTTGAATGAGGAATACCTTCAGCTGTGATAAGTCTGGATCTCGCTAGTTCACATTTATTAGCCACCAAAATGATCGCCGAGTCGCAGTGCTCCTCCTTCCGTAGGTTGTAAAGAATATCGACGGCCCGATCAAACGATGATCGATCATCGATACAGTAGACGACCACATAAGCATCGATACAGGAACAGTTTGGAGCACATCTTGGTGTTACCTACAAATAATAAACGTGGGATTGATTGCTGTATAAAGTGATTTAATATAGTGCGTAAATATTTTATTGTCTTGGAATTAAAATCTATTTAATGAACGAGAAACAAACTGACATTTTCAGTATCCGGATCGATGAAGGAGAGCACGGACTCCTCACCGTTAAGTAATACTGACACTGTCTTCTCCTCCTCCCCATCTGAAACAGTAAAAACACAACTCACATCACCAACAAGAAATTCTGGTCATTAACACTATTTCCTTTTATTTCCTTGAATCAGGGGTACAGGGTACGATTCGTTCTCTTCTGATGACCAATGTATTCGTAGTTTCATATTGCCATGATTTCACCTATGACACCAAAACGAATCTTCCAAAATCATTCGGGATAAATGTGATCCCCACCTTATTAATACAAGACATCCAAATTGAAAATTGCATTTTTCCTTAATTGTGATCAATGAAGGAACAAAGTAAGCGTACTATTACAGTACAGTGATGAATAGAACCAGGATGTTTCAAACCTTAAACTAATTAACCCGCATTAGTGAGTGCCTTTGTTGGTTCGTGACAGACTTTCCGACAGAAATTTCACAAATGAATAAGCTAAGCTGTACTTTGGTGGTAAATCGTTCAATACGCTAAATAATCAAGGCAAATTAACAAAATTAACTTACATCAAAGATATCATCATGAAAAATTCATCGTCACCGGAGATCGCCAAAATACGAGGTAACTACTTTTAAATGTAATAGAAAACCCGAGTGGGCTGAAGAACAATATGGGCTTCATTCACCGACAAGTGTGTAAGATTTTATCATTTCTTGTTCATTTGGAAAGGAAGCATTTTGACGTAGATTAAAGCGAAGAATTTCCGTAGCTCACATTTTCTACATGAATGTGTCAAACCGCCTTATCAAATCGGACGAAAGACAATCAGTTTTGAAGTACTTAATCCCCGGCAATATTCAACAATGCTTTACAATTCAGACATTGCATAGAGATGAAGATAACACAGAAAAACGTCTGATAATAATACTCATTATAGACAATATTATCAACCACGCTCAACTACAAGTCATCATTTTTTTCAATAAAAGCTATTACATTGTGTTTACAGTTATCAGCGACATCTAAATATTTTTGATTCGATCTCAATATCTCTTGAGCTTCTTTTTTGGAGTAACATATGTATCTATTAGTCTTCCAAAAATCTTTTGGAATTCAGATTTTATTCAAAAACGAGAAACTTTCGATATGGCCTTCAACTCAACATTTCAATATTTAACGATGTTTTGTCAATTAACTATAGTTATTTTCATATGTTGACTCGATATATCTCGATATAACCACACACTAAAGAATCTGCCATATTTGTTTCATATTGGGATTTTTTACTGACTAAAGATGATAATGGCCAACGAATAACCAAACTGTATACAACTAAACTGTATTTCAAACGGGATAACTTCAACCTTTCCATCGTCAAATTATTTATGAAGCAATATTCCAATATCGCCTTCATTAGTGTTTTTGTCTCCAACTGATACCATGCACAAAAACATGCTCTAAATACGATCAATTTCCAACCAAGGCCAGCTACTGACAAATAAATTGATGTTATAATGATTCCAACAATCCTGTTTAAAGTTAGTTTTTCGCAAAATCCACGGTCGATATAATGACATTGTTTGTAAATACAACCTAGTTGGGTTCTATTTTGTCTGACATTTTTCATACCATTTGTTAGGTCATTGTTTTTATACTAAATTTTACTACGGGGTACTCTGTATACCTGATCAATACAAAAGGCTCAAGTGTTGGGAGTGACCGGTCAACAAGGGATGCATACTCCTCCTAGGCACCTGATCCCACCTCTGCTGTTTCCAGGGGGCCGTGTTTTTGCCCTGTTTATTTACGATTCGTTTTATTTACTGGATTTATGAGATTTTCTCTGTACATAATCGTCACCTTTTAGACATTATCAAGCCCGTCCAAGTTAGAATACCCATGTTAGAATATTATAAGAGAATGAGGACAACGGTTTTATGAATAGTGTCTGTTCAAATAATTATGACTTCTGATGTGAAATCTAATATATGGTGTCTTTTAAGAAATGTTTTCTAGCAAAATAGTCATAAAAACGGGGGGGGGGGACAATTTCTTTATGTGTATCTACGGTAAACTACTTAATCCTACCTTAAAATACAAAATTGAAACCTCATTTCATATTTTTGGGAGAAAATATGCAAGTCCTACATACATTAAACATTTATCAATGACATAGACACACTAAACAGGTAGTTTTATGTATCCGTCGTTTCACGAGATCCCTCTAGATATATAAAGTATATAAATGATTTACAACCCTCAGTGAGGAATACCGACCTTAATTGGAGTATGCAACAAGAGGTTGATTTTTTTGTTTGTTTGTTTTTGTTTTTGTTTTGTTTTTTTTTGGGGGGGGGGTGTTATTATACGAAATGGTTTCCAATACTTTAAAGTGTTTATGGAGGAAAGATAATGTTTTAGACTGACAAGCACTATTGTGACAGAAGTGAAATTAACTACACACTTCCCTTACATATTCATATTCTTCAACATAAGAATTAACTGAGTGAAACAAAATATTACTACGAGTAATTAAAACTTGCAAAGTTCAAGATTATCAAGAAAACATAAAAATGATTAGAAGAAACTGAACTTTTTCTCAGATGCACATGGTGTTTTTTTTAATTCTTTAAACAACAAAATGATGTCAAAAACACAAATACCCCGCACACAAATTTTTTGCTCATAAATGCACTCTCCATCGCTAAATAGTTATTATATAATTATAAGATGAATAAAGATATGGCCAAAATCATAAAATCTATTACAAGTCCCGAAATTAGAGAAATTAATAAAGCAATAATTTTGTTTTGAAAGGCAGTTTTAAATGAAAGAATCTTCGGTAAAAAGAAGCGTTTTACAGTTTCGGCCAATTCCAAATCCTTATTCCACTGGACACCACTAATATTCCAAGTGATAATTTGACCTCTGCATAAAATGTTATACACTTCTGGGAACCAATTTTTGTTGAACACCACCCCCCCATTGGCCTCCCGGATTAAAATAATTACGATACACACATCTACAAGACCACCATTTTCCGAGGCATACCTTCTGCGTAAAGATACCTGAATACTCTAGATATCATGATATTACCTTTCTGCATCATGCTTTAAAACTCGTTTTTAAGCAAGTGTTTCTTACGATGCCCATGGATAAAGAGCACGTGACAAACATTGGATTTCCGCTTACGTCACTCATTGACCTTCAGTACATCTTTTGAAAGTCAAATTCTAATTATCTGGGTAAACATAACGTAATTAAGATTAAGAATATGCCTTCAAATATCCCCTCAGAAAAAAAGCAATCGCTTTCCATTGATTAGAAAATTTAAACAATCTTCCTAGAGTTTTTTTTTCATGGGAAATGACGCCTCAACTTCTCTGTGCGAAGACAGTTATTCTGCTTCTTCGTTATCACATTGTATTTCTTTTTTACCACAAAGAGACTGCAATAGGCCTGAATAAAAACGTGACAATTTTGGCACTTTTGAAATAAAAAAAACTGCTCAACAATATTATACAAACAGAAAAGATATCCCAAATTTGTTTTTAATATTATATACATGAACCTAACAAGTTGAAAAAATATGACTAGGTTCGACAAAAATAATAATGTTAGACATTTAGACTTGAAAATATTTAAAACCAGTAAGTAATATTGTAAAGTATCAATAGTCTGTTAATTCGGTAAAAAGAGTTATGATAGCAATTTGGCTTATGGTACATATTAATTACAATGAGGAAAAAAATTTAATGCACAATTTACTTGACAAAAAGATACTGTTTTAGTCTCTTTATCACACTCATATCTGTCTCATACACTATGATCTGCCGTAGTGCCGTACTATTGTAATATATCGTGCAGACCAGAACTTAAAATAGTTCATATACATGCATAAATCTGTGCAGGCACGCTTTCTTGCGAAAAAAATTGTACGCCAATATTATTAGCTACATATGATCTTGCTCTTGCTCCACAGTATATAAGTTTTATAAAATTTATTGGAAACTATTAAAAGATGTTTTCAAAACAAAGGTCAGATCCGAAATACCACCGCTGCAGGATATTACAGAAAATGGCGATGTGCATATTTCATATAGCGATATTGACAAAGTTGAGGCGTTAAACAACTATTTTGCTTCGATTTCGTCGTCGCATGATGTCGAACCTGCATTACCAGATTTTTCTTTATTGTGTAATAGTGTTCTTCATAATATTGAAATAGTTGAGCAAGACATTATTGATATAATTTCTATTCTCCCTGTGAACAAGGCCATAGGACCTGACAATATTAGTCATAAAATGTTAAAAGCTACTATTTTTAGCGTCTCATTTCCCTTGTGTATTCTGTTTAATAGATCTTTAAGAGAATGTGTATTTCCTAAACAGTGGAAAGTAGCTAATGTACTTCCTTTATTTAAAAAAGGTGACCCATCATTATTATCAAATTATAGACCTGTATCATTATTAAGCTGCGTAGGTAAAATTATGGAACGAGTCATTTTTAAATATGTTTATAATTATTTTCATTCAAACAATCTTTTTTATAAATATCAGGCTGGTTTTTTACCAGGTCATTCAACTGTTTATCAGCTTATTGAGACATACAATTACATAGATGAAGGAAAACACTGTTGTATGTTTTTTTGTGATTTGTCTAAGGCATTTGATCGGGTATGGCATAAAGGTCTTCTATTTAAGTTACAAACTTATGGTGTTAGCGATAAATTATTGCTATGGTTTCAAAGTTATTTAGATTTAAGGACACAAAGGGTAGTGCATAGGAATACTATGTCTAATTTTAAACCTTTACATGCTGGAGTCCCTCAGGGGTCTGTATTGGGACCACTTTTATTTTTGATATATGTCAATGATGTTGCTGAAAATATGTCGAGTTTAAGCAGGTTGTATGCTGATGATAATTCTTTACAGAACTGTTCTGAAAATATACATGATATTCAAGTAGGATTGAATTATGATTTAAATCAACTTGAACAGTGGTCTAAACAGTGGCTATTGAAATTTAATCCTTCGAAAACCAAAGCTATCTTTTTTAGTACTAAGAAAAATGACGAACTACCAAGG